TTGGGACCTCCGCTGATCTTAATACTCCTCGACCTCCTGAACAACCTCCAAAGATTGGGACCTCTACCGATCTTAATACTCCTCGACCTCCAGAACGACCTCCGAGAATTGAGACTTCTGTCGATCTAAATACTCCTCGACCTCCTGAACAACCTCAGAAAATTGGGACCTCCGTTGATCTAAATACTCCTCGGCCTCCAAAGCAACCTCTGAGTTTGGGACGTCCGTCGATCTGAATACTCCTCGGCCTTGCCAATCTAAATACTCCTCGACCCTCAGAACAACTACCAAAGATTGGGACGTCTGTCAATCTAAATACTCATCAGCCTCTAGAGCAACCTCCAAAGATTCGGATCTCCGTCGATCTGAATACTCTTCGACCTCTAGTATAACCACCGAAAATTGGAACCTCTACGGATCTGAATACTCCTTGGCCTTCCAAAAAACCTCCAATAATTGGAACCTCTGCCGATTTGAATACTCATCGGCCTTGAGAACAACCATTGAAGATTGGGACCTCCATCGATTTAAATACTCCTCGACCTCCAGAACAACCTCCAAAAATTGGGACTTCCGTGGATTTGAATTTTCCTCGACCTCCAGAACAACCATCAAAGATTGTGTTATATACACCAAGATTTATGGGTCGATTCCACTTTAAAATTAATTGGCAATGAGAGGATTAGTTCGATGTATCTTATAAACTTTGTTAGGTCCCTTGACCTTTTTTATTTGAGATCTTTAACGTGCTCTTAAGATGGTGGCTCTTATCGGACTTGCAAATTTTTGTCGAATCCTATTTGATCGGATGCTTGTTTGAGTTTGTTGGACTCTGATACCATATGAATATTCATAAGGTTTCATCTCAAAACTTATTGGCAATTGAAATTTAGAGATGAAACCGCGTGAATTTTAAGAAAGAGTAAAATTGTAAAACAATTCATCCAAAAATTACCAGTTTCACTGATCGATTAAAGAGAAATAAAATGATAAAAATTAGATAATTATAAATGAGATTACTTTATGTAGTAAACAACACGGAAAGAAAACCTTCTAATTCTCATTCTTTGTTTTGGAAGAGTAAAGGATGTAGTTTTCAAGTTTTTCACAATTTTCTTGTTTTCCAAACACCTTCTCTCTCTAGGTTGCAAGTGTAATCCATGCAGGGAGGACTTTGAACTGATACGGTTTTGAAAGGCTCTTGCTTTAATGTCATTGCCATGCAAACACACATTAGTCCTAAAAAAGATTTCTCACTCTAACTTTTCTCTATCCCCCTTAGTTCTAAAAACAAGGATCATTATGGTCTATTGTATTTTTAAGAACAAAAGAATCAAAATGGTTAATCAAATATGGTCTAAATATAACTTAATTCACTCCCAAAATGAGAGGATGGAATCCCTACCAACTCTGCCTCGTCTGAAACTAACAAAAAAAAAGAGAGAGACATTTGGTATGAATCGGATGACGATATATTTTTTATCCCAAAAAATAAGGTCAGTGCGTTACAATTATGTGCACTATAAATCGGTTTCAATCTGAACTCTAAACCCTCACCTCAAGAGATAGTTTCATTCTCTTATCAAAATTTATTTTTCTTCCGATTCTTACAAAGATAAGATAATTATAATGGATAGCCTTACAATTTTCTCACTTCTTCTGATTTCCAGCCTTCTGCTTCTCTTTTTCTCTCATGGTACTCTTATCTTTTGTTCTTTATTATTTCTCTTATTTTCTTTTCATGGATTACTTCCTTATTTTATAATTCAATATATTGATCAATTGTTTATTTTTTATATTGGGATTTTTTAATTTGTTGAAGGATTTGGGGTGGATGTGATGGGGAGTGGGGAACATCCAGAGTCTATGACTCCACTCAAGGCAAGTGTGTTTTGTGACTACTTCTATCACTGTTTATGGTAGTGAGTCTATATAATTAGACAATACTTTTCCACCAAATATAGTAGTAATTACTGTTATCATCACTAAGTTTTGATACATGGACAAATCTGTGTTTAGCTCAACTAATTAAATTCATCTATTTTCGATAACAAAGGTTGTGAGTTTGAATCACAACTCCCATGTTGTTGTACTGAAAAAAGGTTTTGTACATGGGAGAGATGAAGAGATTTAGCAATTACTTCTTAAAAAAAATTGTGGTGGGCAAAATAGAGAATTTTTCTTTATGTTCTCTAGTCAATAAGGAAGTATTATTCATATATATTTGTATTTCGTGGTGAGTGCTAAAGGTGAACGTGTTTGTTTAGCAGGAAAGCATACAAAAATCGAGGAAGGTGAATGAAGTTGCAAATTATCATGATCCAGCACCTAATCATCCTACAATGTTTCACCCTACAAAGATTTTGAATGCTAGTCCTCCTTCTCTAAGGAAGATGATTGAAGTTGAAGACTATCAAGATCCAGGACCTAATCGCCCTATAAAGATTTCGAATGCTAGTCCTCCTTCTCCAAGGAAGATGACTGTAGTTGAAGACTATCAAGATCCAGGACCTAATCGCCCTACAATGTTTCGTCCTATAAAGATTTCGAATGCTAGTCCTCATTCTCCAGGGAAGATGATTGTAGTTGAAGACTATCAAGATCCAGGACCTAATCGCCCTATAATGTTTCGCCCTATAAAGATTTCGACTGTTAGTCCTCCTTCTCCAAGGAAGAAGATTGTAGTTGAAGACTATCAAGATCCAGGACCTAATCGCCCTACAATGTTTCACCCTATAAAAATTTCAAATGCTAGTCCTCCTTCAACAAATAAGATGATTGAAGTTGAAGACTATCAAGATCCAGGACCTAATCGCCCTGCAATGTTTCGCCCTACAAAGATTTCGAATGCTAGTCCTCCTTCTCCAAGTAAGATGATTGAAGTTAAAAACCATCGTGATCCAGGACCTAATTGTCGTACAATATTCGGCCTTATAAAAAATTTGTGCGGTAGCCCTCCTCCAAAAGTGTAGTTCACATCTCATCCCTTTGTCTCCTACCTCAAGGCCAACCAACACAAACATATCAAAATTATATCCTACAAACAAGAGTCTCAAATGTTACTCCTTACTCTTATGTGTAATCCATGCATTGGAGTTGCTGAGAAATGCATCTCTCTCTCCCCTCTCTCTAAATTCTACGTGTAACGCTCTCTTTTCTCTCATGAGTATAAATAATCCATGCATGGAACGTTACAAAATGTATGTCTTTCTCTTTGTCTCTCACTTATAAGTGTTACTTTCTTTTTCTAAAAGAAAAAAAATTGGAAACCATAACTCTCTCTAAATTCTATACTCTCTTTTTCTCTCAAGCATTTACCTAATCCATGCATAAAAATATTAGATAATATTATTAGGTAAATGTTATTTAAATTATATTTAGATTTGGATTAGAATATAGTTTAAGATTAAGATGTAGTTTATAATTAAATTTCTTATTTGAAATAGGGTAAATGTGAATTATTACTCCGTTATGCTAATATGGCTTTTGTGGAAGAAAGAAACGTTTAATAAACTAACTTTTTTGTTATTTATTAAACAAATGAAACGGTTACTTCTAAAACTACTATGATTGGTATGTGATATTGTGATGTGTCGCTGACAAATATGAGGTAATATTTGGGAACAACTAGGGTGAAATATTATTTTAATTAGACATTTGTTGAAGAGCATAAATAAATTATTTAATTAGGTAATTGAGTTTTTTATGAAATAAATTTAGACACTAAATAAATATATTTTTTCTAAATAATCTAAGAAAGTGTTAGTAAGATTTTTTTTTCCTTCCATAACATGGAGAGACGCTATTCTATGGGGTTTGTGGTGTAGGCTAGAGGTCATGACTTCAAGAGACTTGAGAGTTTATCTGCTCGATTTTGTCTCGTTGATACAAGAGACACGTCTTCATATAGTTAGTGACATCGATCGTCTCACATGCCAGTAGTACCTTGACTTTTGCAAGACCTAATATATCGGTCCACATGCATAGCGTAATTTCACTGCTATTTATTAGGCAAAAGGGGGTGACAACTTTACCACTCTACAATGGAATAATCGAGTTTGGAAGGCTCTTCTTGAACAATAACTCTAGAGAAAACTTCATATTTTATGTCAAGATCAAAAACAAACTTGGGGAAAAACTTGTTTTCTAAGCTAGAAGTCACGTTCACATTTATGAAAGAGCCCGTAACTTTCATAGAAAGAACCATCCCATAACTCCTTGATCAAGAAGAAGTAGATTTTGTGAAAGTCTTTACATTTAGAGCCTTTTTCTATAAAACTTTTATAGAAACCATCTAAGTCAAAGGATTTAACCATAATAAGGGATAATTCGATAATCTAATTATAAAAAACAAATTGTCAAATTAAACCTTAAATTGGGAAATTGAAATTATGCTCCAATCCTAAGAACCAACTTTACAATTGTACCAATTATTTTTTATCATGAACTTTCTAGGTAATTTACCACTGTATTTAATTACAAGAATGAACAATTTCGTGGGAAAAGCACGCAATAATTTAAAATAATGCGATAAAATATTGTCTTAATTGACCACTCGTCCTAATTCCTACCTAATTAATTTCCAATTCAAAGAAACAACGTTAATTATTAAGTAATTCCCTTTTCTCTCCCCCTCCACTTTCTCGGGTCAACTTGAGCAATAAGAAATGAAATGCCGCAGTTCCCCGGAAAAAGAACCACTTTCCGACCTTCCAAACAGAAAACGGACAAGAAAATTCCGCAACTTCAGTAGCCGACCCACCCCACCATAATTCGCACGAACCTTCCCATGGCGTCCGATTTCAAGAACTCTCCCATCTTATTCTTCACACAGTCTTTAATTAATTACTTTTTTGACTTCAAACTTCTACGCGCAATTAGGGCTTCAAATACCCCCTAATTGAATCCGCAATCGACACATCGAATTCCAATTCACCACCAATTTCTTCTCTCCAACGATGGATCTGAATCTGTACAACCTTTCAATGGCGGAGAAAACCGATCGCCCCGAAAATCCCTCTCTCCGCTTCCTTATAATGATCGATTGCCTCGTGTTTCAGAAACTAACCTCGTGGCTCAGCGCCACATACCACGGCTTCGCCTCCACAAGAAATTCAAATCGTTGTTCCCCCATTCCGAAAGCGGTCGTAGACGGCGGCGAGAGTGTGAGCAGAGAGGAGATGAAATCGGTGATGGGAGATTTGGGGATTGTTTGCGGCGAGGAGGGCGATGAATCGCTTCCTCTGTTCGGATCTGTTGAGGAAATCGCGAAGCTGTTCGAGGAGAGAGGGCCGTGTATTGCGGAGGTGAAGAGAGCTTTCGACGTTTTCGACGCCAATGGCGATGGATTCATCGATGTGGTGGAGCTTCAGAGAGTTCTCTGCGTTTTGGGCCTCAAAGAAGGGGAGGGGGTTGAGAATTGCAAGAGGATGATCCAGAAGTTTGATGAAAATGAAGATGGCAAAATTGATTTTGAAGAGTTTGTTAAGTTGATGGAGTCTGGTTTCAATTGACGGATTCGGATTCTTACTTCTTTTCTGTAAATTGTTGAAACTTTGTTATTAATTCTTCCGATTCTTTTTAGTTTCACGTGGAATTGAAATTTTGACCCATCCAATTTTACCCTGTAATTTGGATTTTTGTCGTTTCAATTCTGTGTGTGTAATTTTACATTCGTTTTGAGTTTCTGATCATTAATGGGATTTCCTGTTGAAACTTGAAAGTTGTGACAAGATTCTGCTATTTTGGTCCTCTTTTTGGGGACGAGTCAATTCTCTCTTTGGATTTATGTAAAATTAAAGAATTACAATTGATATATAGAGAAATTATATACCAATGTCTCAAAATTATGTTTTAGTGCCAAGAAATTCACAATCAATCACTTAATTCAATTGGTTAATTTATTTAAATACAAATTCTTGGGCCTTTGCACATATTATTTTGTCGAATAGAGCATAGTTTAGTGATAATTGGCATATACCTAGAGCATAGTTTAGTGATAATTGGCATATACCTCGAACTAAGAGGTTGTGAGTTTGAATCTCCTCCCAACATGTTGTATTCAAATATATATATATATATATACATACATACATATATATGTATATATACATACATACATGTATATATGCTATATATACCCTAAACCCTATATATACACACACATACATACACATATCAATTGGTTAATTTACTTATTCATGAGCCTTTAGAGTGATTTTGATCCTTTGATGTTTATAGAAACTTTGATGAGATGATTTATAGAATTTTTCAGAAGTCTATTCTAACTCAATTGTTTGGCTTGCGCTAATTTAAGCTTTGACTAACTTGAGTATCGTGTTAATTTGAGCTTGACTTATTTAAGCTTTGAATCTTGGACTAACTTCTTTTTGAACTTGTTTGATTCTAGACACAATTTTCATGATTAGCGAAAATTGGGCATGGTAGGAATTTTGATTATTTTGTGGAATTTTAATCCTCTAATTTTCAGAAAATTTTTTATAAGATGATTTGATACGAGTTAAATGACAAATGACTCCCCCTATTTAGAATTTTTCATGGGTCTCACTTGGGTTTGGACTCAAAGACTTGCACTAACTTGAGTCTCGTCATTCTTTGCATGTTATGCTAACTTCAATCTTGAACCCAAATTCATTTAATTTTAGACTTGTGTGATTCTAGGTCCAAAATTTGACCAGGTTGTTTGTAAGATCAAATGGGCATATAGAACATATGTGGCAATTCATCATCGACTGAAATTTGAAATTTACCGCTCAACCATTAGACTTTGGGCAAAAGATTCAACTTAGACTTGACCTAAACTTTTGTATGTATGGATCAAGTTTAACCCAATTTTTTACTATAAAATATTTTCTTTTGTGTGTGGATTAATTTTCAATCTATAATAGATAACAAAAACAACATGCAAAAAATGCACAAACTGCAGAAGCTTTGGGCTGCGCTGCCTATTTATGTTGAAAATTAATGTGGAATATATATTAAAAAGAAAAAAGAAAATACCTTTTTGGAAAGTGTGAGGAGAGGAAGCAAACACCGACATCTCCAAAAAAAATAGGACGTTGATCGTTCTGAGAAGCAACAACTTTCACGAACATTTGGTTCAGCTTTCTTTATATTGGTTTCATAAATATAAAATATAAATCTAGTGTCGGTGCTCTCCAATTAAAAAAAAAATTAATTTTCAAATGTTAAGACATAGATTTTGAAAACTTTTCAATAGAGTAGGTAACAAAATAAAGAAAACATCAAATAAAAATAATGTTTCTAATTTTGGTTTCTTAACCTTTAAAATCTCAATTATATTCTTGAAAAATTTCATTAAATTTCACCTAAGCCTTGCCACAAAGATAATATTGTGGATATGACATATAAAAGTGACAAATTACTCTTAAAAAGTTAAACATGGATTATAAAAATCCTTGTCTGATTTTTTTAAAAAAATACCAAAAGTTATATCTATGGTAAATTGTCACATGCCAATTAAAAGTTAAAATGCCCAATTGTTCTAATTCACCATAGATTTACATTGAATTCGATTTGATTGAAGTTATCCGCAAACTCATCAATCATCAACGATCACATCTGATTAAGATAAACTAGTTAGTGGAGGAAGTTATATCTACGGGAGAAGACAAATGTGTGATAATTTCTATGAAGCACATGCGTAGAGAAGCCAACAATACGTTGCTCATAATCTATCGAAGAAGGCACGGGAGGATCAAATTGCAAAGATTTGGAGTGATATTGCTCCTAATAACTTAGTACGACTCTAGTTCAATTCAAAGCATTTAAGTTGTTGATTATTTTTTTTTTTCCGAAGAATATATATCGAGTGGCCCCTCTTTACTATATTGGAACTCTTTGATCCATGATGGCAATAAAATATCTGACATGAAAGTGAGGGGAGAGGAAAGAAACAAGATCACATGAGAGAGTGCAGAAAAGTAAAATAGTAAAGAAGGAAAAAAAACAACTGAATTTGGAAAGTGTACCAACAGAGAGAGAAGCAACTAGGAAAATATCTGTTTCATTTGGAGAACAACACCACAGCCATTGTCTCATATATCCTTGCACGCTTAAAAATGTACTGCAATTCTCAGAAACCAAAACCCACATGCTTTTCTCTTCTCTCATCTTGGATCACCCCTAATTTTTCCCAACCCAAAATCCCCTTTCCCAACCCATTTTTAATTATATATATATATATATATATATATATATACTCAGCAGCCAACACAAAGGCCTTCAAGCAATGGCATTAGGGAATAGAGAACAGGGATATGGTCCAAAAGCAAAAAGGAACTTTTTTTTTAAACCCTTTTCTGCAATTGGTGGGAAATGGAATTTTTTTTTTTTTTACTTTTAACATATTTTCGCTCACTTGGTAGGAAATATATATATATATATATATATGTTATCTATAGGGGGAAAAGAAAAGAAAGAAGATTTAATATGGGTAAAAATTAAAGGGGTAATTAAGGTAATTAATAGCGGAACTGTCCGCCGACATAAGTCTGTCCGAAAGACCAGCCCGACGGAGCAACGTTGTAGGACAGCACTTGTCGTCCGTCGCTGGCCGTCACCAGAAACGAAAGGCTCTGCCCATTCAGATAAGAGTTTGATTGCCAATTCTGCCCCCAATTTCTTGACATCGGCTGCCACCGTGTTTTCGACCCCTTTATCGCCACCGCGTGGATGTCTCCGGCGCCGCCCACGTTCGTGACCAGCACCAGATTGAAATATGAATGCCCGTTTATCGTGAACCTTATTCCCCCGCTCCTTCTGCACCTCACCCTGTAATAATTCTCACTCTTATGAATATCATATCGCAAACTTCCAAGCTCAAAAAAATTCAAACGAAACATTCTACTTAAAAAAAGGAACTAACTAAGATTTACAATTTACAGTTACGATAAATTACCATTCAATCCAAAAGTTTAAGCGGTTGAGTTTTGTACAAATATCTCAACATTTATATATACC